GTATACTTAGAAATACTAAATAGTGTACGAAATGTGTCATTTTTCTGGGTACGAATATTCCACTGGTACGAAATGTCTGGTGTTTTCCCGCAGTACTAATTCGTTTGGGGTATGAAATTACCACAAACAGCTATTATCAGTGTGTTAAATGTGGGAAAAACATTAACAAAATCAGGTCTTACATCATGATCCATAACACATCACCAACTTGTGTATAGTTTGTTTGTTGTTTAACGCCGCACTCAGAAATATTCAAGCTATATGACGGCGGTCTGTAAATAATCGAGTATGGACCAGACAATCCAGTGATTAATATCATGGGCATCGATCGATCCACGCAATTGGGATCCATGACATGCATCAACCAAGTCAGCGAACCTGACCACCCGAACCCGTTAGTCGCCTTTTACGGCAAACATGGGTTGCTGAAGACCTATTATACCCCGGATCTTCACGGGTCTCAGCCCTCGTTATTGTTGGTGTTCTTGTGGAAACATCTTTTGAAAATGCATTATCATGATAAAAGACAACTCTTTTGTTTTCAGTGAACACCATAACATCCACAAGTTAACAATGGAAGTACAAAGCCAACCACAGAATCCTGGCTCTGTTTCTGAAACATGTGTAGTCAGTGACTGTGAGAGAGAATTGCTGGAAATTACTGACACTCAGGAAATAGGTGATCTCAAGGAACACAAAGATTGTGGTGGTCCAGAAGATCAATCAACGTCTAGTGCATGCGGGAAAACATTTATTAAATCAGAAGACATGAAAAGGCACATGGCGATTCACTGTGGAATCAAGCCTCACCAGTGCACTGTTTGTAAGAAAACATTATCAGGTCATCTGCAGAAACATATGCTGATTCACACTGGAGTCACACGTTATCAGTGTGTTGAATGTGGTAAAAGGTTTAGAGGTTCAGGACATCTGCAGGCACACATGAGGATTCACAGTGGAATTAAGCCTTATCCGTGCATTGTGTGTGAGAAGACATTTACACAATCGGGTCAGCTGCAGTCACACATGAGGATTCACACTGGAATCAAACCTTATCAGTGTGTTGAATGTGGGAAGGAATTTACACGATCAAATTACCTGCAGATACACTTGAGGATTCACAGTGGAGTCAAGCCTAATCAGTGTAATATATGTGAGAAAACATTGACACGATTAAGTACTCTGAAGAATCACATCAGGATTCACACTGGAATCAAACCTTATCAGTGTGTTGAATGTGGGAAGGGATTTACACGATCAAATACCCTGCAGAAACACATGAGGATTCACAGTGGAGACAAGCCTTATCAGTGTAATGTATGTGAGAAAACATTTGCACGATCACGTACTCTGCAGGAACACATGATGATTCACAGTGGACTCAGACCTTATCAGTGTAATGTATGTGAGAAAACATTTACACGATCAGGTACTCTGAAGAATCACATGGCGATTCACACTGGAATCAGACCTTATCAGTGTGTTGAATGTGGAAAAGAATTTACAGTATCAAGTAACATGAAGAAACACATGAGGATTCACAGTGGAGTCAAGCCCTATCCATGTAATATATGTCAGAAATCATTTACACGATCAGGTACTCTGGAGAGGCACATGGCGATTCACAGTGGACTCAGACCGTATCAGTGTGTTGAATGTGGGAAAGCATTTAGACATTCATATCACCTGAAGACACACATGATGATTCACAGTGGAATCAAGCCTCATCAGTGTGTTGAATGCGGGAAAACATTTGCACAATCAAGTAATCTGCAGAAACACATCAGAATTCACAGTGAAGTCAAGCCTTATCCGTGTAATATATGTCAGAAATCATTTACACGATCAGGTACCTTGGAGAGGCACATGGCGATTCACACTGGAATGAGACCTCATCAGTGTGTTGAATGCGGGAAAGCATTTGCACAATCAGGTAACCTGAAGACACACATGATGATTCACAGTGGAGTCAAGCCTTATCAGTGTGTTGTGTGTGATAAGTGGTTCACACACTCAAGTAGCCTGCAGAAACACATGACCATTCATAGTGCTAGCAAGCCGTATCAGTGTGATGTGTGTTGTAAAGCGTTTACATACTCAAATAGCCTGAAGCGACACCTGACCATTCATAGTGGAAGCAAGCCTTAGCAGTGTGTTCGATGTGGGAAAATATTTTGACACTCAGGTACTCTGCATACACAAGTGATGATTCACAATGGAATCAAACCTTTACGAGTGCATTGTTTGTGAGAAAGGATTGACACACTCAGGTAATCTGCAGAAACACAAGGATTCGCCGTGGAATCCAACTTATCAGTGTGTTCAATGAAGCGAGGGATGTAACATCACACGTTTCATAGTTCAGGAATAAAGGTTTACAAAGTTCATATTCTTGCTGCGTAGGGGATATTTAAATCCAATGCTAACTATCTCGGCCGTTAATAATCCTCTGGCCATGTAGTGACCACATGTTTACACCACGTGCTCTTGGACAGGGAGGGGGCACGGGTGGCCCAGTGGTCTAAGGCGCCGCGATTCACTGTGCAGAGTTGCGTCCCTTGAGCTTGCCAGAAACCTATGACTGTGGGTTCGAATCCCGGTTCGCCCCAATTATGTTTCTAGGTTTGTCAGCACCATACCCGTGCTCGTGGGTTTCCCCGAAGTGGTAAACGTCTGAGACCTGCATCACTTCGGGCTTTCCTCCCACATTAAGCTGACACGCCGCGATATAACTGGAATATTGTTAAATGCGGCGTTAAACCCAACTCACTCACTCACTCTGAAACCACCTCCGTATTGAAGGGGTGGCAGGGCTTTGCCCGTTGACCTTGAGGCCCAGAGTTTGCCTCGTGGAGGACGTAAGCAAGTTCATATTCTTGCTGCGTAGGGGATATTTAAATCCAATGCTATCTATCTCGGTCGTTAATAATCCTCTGGCCATGTAGTGACCACATGTTTACACCACGTGCTCTTGGACAGGGATACATCAAAGGCTATCTTATCTTCCTTACATGTAGTCATACAGCAACTCTGTATGTTTCAGAGTTGACCAGTAATTAGCCTGTCCAGAACAAGACAATAAACTAACTGTCATCGTCTACAACCCTGCTTTGACAAACAAGGTAGTTAGCCTGTTTAATTAGTGTGCTGATTGTTCTTATACACCACTAGACTCTTGGTCAAAACAAGGCAATTAACATATTTGCTGTGACCTGCAACCCGTGCCAACTTAAATTATTACTGAACCATTGTGACAAGTTCACGTAACATTAACCCGTGAAGATCCGGGGTAGAATAGGTCTCCAGCAACCCGTGTTTGCCGTAAAAGGCGACTATGCTTGTCGTAAGAGGCGACAAACGGGATCGGGTGGTCAGGATTTGGTTGACGCATGTCATCGTGTCCCAATTGCGTGGATCGATGCTCATGATGTCAATCTCTGGATTGTCTGTTCCAGCCTCGATTATTTAGAGCCGTCATATAGCTTGTCTATTGCTGAGTGAGGCGTTAAACAACAAACAAATAAACCAAAAATAACCAAATTTTCAGTGAGACATTTTCCATAGAGTGTGAATAAGTTTTCATGGAACCATAAATTCTTTGTATGGATTAATGTTACACTTCAAAAGTGTATCGTACGGCTGCAAAGTACGACAACACGGGGATGCCACTTTATGCTGTGGTCTAGTGGCCGGATGCAGATAGATATCCCTGACCGCTGACCTCATCCGGTCACCGGGCGGTCGCCTACAGGTCACCCAGGGACCCCAGCGACCTACATACATACATACATTAATATATTGTGTCTATCAACATGCACTACACGTTCTTGACTCTACGTCCCCTACGTCGTTACACAATACAATGGCATTTATACAAAACAGTTATTTCAATATAAAACACGTTATTAATTTATATATAATACTTATCACTCACTTCTGTATACAATACGATGCTTGTCGTAAGAGGAGACAAACGGGATCGGATGGTAAGGCGCGCTGACTTTATACATTGTACACATGAACGGAATCGAACCCGGGTCTTCGGCTTGACGAGCGAACCCTTTCACCACCAGGCTACCCTACCGCCCCTTTTTGATATTGGTGGCAATAGGTATCTCAACTAAAACTGAAGCAAATGAAATAAAGTTAATCTAAAAAAAAACGACGATTAGCAGTTTTACAATAAAACACTGCAGGGAGAATAAACCGCCAGTCGATTATTTCTTACATGAGATATCAATATTATGTTCAGCCTCTTTAAGGATGTTACTAAACCGTACAAACTTGAAATATATTTACCCGTATTTACATAATGATGACTCCCTGAATGGAATCCGACCTCGGCAATGTCGGACAAGTCCATTTTGCGAACAGGTGGGATAAGTTTGGTATTTCCCGCATATTCTCACATTCCTAACGTCAGTTGTCTAATACCGATTGTCATATCTCTTCCACTTTTTGATGCGATCGTTCGACCCCTGAGTTTATCTGCGTAGCCTAGCTAAGAAAATATGAATCATATATTGATGGGTTATCAATTTGAAACATCAATGCACCTTAATGAAAACTAAATAAGTTCTTTATAAACTTCATTAAAGCAAGAGATGCGAGTACAATGAATGTTACCACAAAAAAAAATAAAAAAAATAGGAATATTAATACCATTACCATTTCTACTTTTTTTCCCAGTATTTGTCATAAAAACACAAATCCGCATAGAAATAGGTGTTCGATGAACTAAGTTATAGAAAAACAGACCGGTCCCCTGCCTCTACCGAGGTGGTCGGTGGGGTAGCCTGGTGGTGAAGGGGTTCGGTCGTCACGCCCAATACCAAGGTTCTATTCCCCACATGGATACAATGTGTGAAGTTCATTTCTGGTGTCCTCCGACGTGATATTGCAGGAATAGTGCTAAAAGCGGCGTAAAACTATACACACTCACTCGCTGTTGAGGCAGAGCCCATATTAGGCACATATGTATATCGTCTCTGGTTGAAGCGAAGGACAGGATGTATTCTTAAAATAGCAACACAATCCCACCAGCGCTCGTCATAACGTGCAGGAAGCAAGCACGGGAGGTCGTACACAGGCAGCAATCGAATGTAAGTAATTACAAGATTACAATATTACATGGCTTCGAAGTTAGATCATTTGACAGCGTCTGCTTAGAGAAATGCGTCTCCTTTCTTTGTGATCGTGGCTATTTATCCATTTTAACTCACTATCCCCTGTGTTTCTCTCCTGGAGACCTGGTTGTCTAGGTAGGCAGCGCGTGCGCTTCAGTGATACAGCCACGACTCAACAATGGCGGCTTCCATTCGATATGGACACGTGGCGCACGCTTTATCAGCTGTTTATGTATTTACTACGGAAAGACGCTAGAACGGGAGCTTAGAAAATGTCCGTGGCATCATGAATACTGTTGCAACGTGTATGTCAGGAGAATAACGTCCATTTTTACTTATATTATAAATAAAGGGAAACTAGACTCTGGCTTCTATCCGACTGCCTCACACCACCAGCAATGACTCATATTTTTACGCAGTAGCTGTCGTGAGTCGATCAGCTGGCTAACGCAACAGAGCGCGACAACCTCATCGGATGCCGTTATTAGGAAATTCCCCTGATGGTTATAGTTTGATAAAAAATATGTCTCCCCGCAGTGAAAACATGTTCGGATTTCTGAATGCGTGGATTATAAGATGACAGATTATTTGGTTGTTTGTTTGTTTAACGCCGCACGCAGCAAAATTCCAGCTATATGACGGCGGTCTGTAAATAATCGAGGCTTGACCAGACAATCCAGTGATTGACATCATAAGCATCGATCCAAGCAATTGGAATACGATGACATGCATCAACCAAGTCAGCAACGCTGACCACCCGATCCCGTTAGTCGCCTCTTACGACAAGCTTAGTTGGTTGCTAAAGAACTATTCTACCCCGGATCTTCACGGGCAAGGTGACATATTGATTTGGATACCATTGCTGTATTTTATAGGTTGATCTTTAATAATATCACGTTATAATATCATGTCAACAGACCTATACTATTAAAAAGAACAATTTGATTTATTTGAAGCCGTAATTAAAACCCCGTTTTCCCATTCCATTGGTTTTGTATACTATCGACTGTCGGATGTTGAAGGAACAAGAAGATAAAGTCATCAATATAATCAGATAGAATTAGTGGTAGAACCACTCAGATTGTCTGACAAAGACTGCCAAATTACTCAATAATGTTCATCCCTGCCTCTAGGGGTGTAGAGGATATACAGTGAGTGAGTGAGTATGGTTTTACGCCGCTTTTAGCAATATTCCCGCAATATCACGGCGGGGGACACCAGAAATGGGCTTCACACATTGTACCTATGTCGAGAATCGAACCCTGCTCTTCAGCGTGACGAGCGAACGCTTTAACCACTAGGATACCAATACGCCCCAGAGGATATGTAGCATTCAGCGGTTCCCTTTTGGCATTTCTTGTGTCTGGGGTAATTATTCAATAGAAGACTGGGTTATAAATCCAGTCTGATGCGGTGAATGGACTACATGTTAAGTAATAACCATGGCAACACAGCAAGAGAAGAATGATCTGTTGAGTTGCTAAAAAAACATCGATCAAAGGATTAACCGATAATTTGATTGATAAATCAATGTTATCTTGCAGAGTAGATTTGTCAAAAGTTAGTGTTCATGTATGTAGGTTTACTAAAGCAGACGAAATACACCCATAGCTGGGCGTGAAGTGCTTATGTCAAAACAACATACTTTGGTCAAAGGATTAGCCGATAGTACGTTAATTAATTGATCATTTGGATTTTTTAAAGAACCATGGACATCAAAAACATAGTTGTCACGTGTGCTATCTCAGCTGACCAATGAGACTTGACACCGATGTGAAACACCTGAAACAAACTTATGTGGTCATTTGAGAAACGAACACGAATTGAGATACCCCAAAAGGCTCTATATATCGATATTTATCATATAATTGGTAGGTTTCTCGGCAGAATAAAGCCAACGGATAAAGACGATATCCGTTGGGGTCATACGCGGATAAAGATGCAAATACCAAAGGTCAAGTAGGGACTACTTTCACTGTTAATAGACAAACATGGCGTCGCCCTCGTCATTCGGCGATCGAGTCAGAATTAACTGTCGGGAATCTGGAGAAACTACTGGGATAATTGCTATCACTATGAAAAGAATAGTCTAATATACTGAAAACCAGTGTCTAACTGTGACGTAGCTAAGGCATTTTATAAGTTTAAACAACTTTGGAGATATAAATTTCGAAACAATTTTGCGAGGGCACGAGGCCTAGCCAAGCGGGATAAGTAGCCATATCTGTGCTTCTAGACCTCTGCGCCTTGAAACCTTCTCCACAAATTAAAATTGTGTGAGATTTGGGCGAAATATGTTTGAATTGTTACCTTGTTTCGTTTTGTCGCTGTGTGTACATCTGACTACACTTCTTAACGTTATGACGGGACAGACCAACTGTCAACAACGTATGACCGTGGCCGTGACGTCTCATAGACTAGCATCAACATTCCACGCACATGATTTGTATGTTTTGTTTCCGTAAATGCGTGGCTTGAAATTTCAAATAAACCAATATGTCGACAAACATGCTACAAAATTAACGTTTCCCGTATACTTCACCGCCTTCAGGGCGGGGAAGAATAAAGAGGTTATTACGCGAGTGTGTTTGGGGATGGTAAATATCCTGTATTAGGTATAAACACTATGTATTTAGCTCGCCAAGGCTCACTAAATACAATGTTTATTCCTAATGCAGGATATTAACCATCCCCAAACACACTCGCGTGATAACCTCTATATATAAAAATATTAGATTGTCACAAAGACACGTGACATCGAACAAGTTTCTTTGTACGGCTTGATATGTATGGGATGTTATAGACCATCATCTAGTCTCTAAAATGATCATATCGTACAGGGAAAAAAATAGTTGTTCAATTATCTTAATAAAAAGATAATAAAAGGGAGCCCAGAGACTCTCTTCATTTGATACTGCAGTAATCTAGACTTGCCAAACATTATAGACTTGCATGGGCTATGTTTGATATATATTTGTAACAGCGTCTGAAAGACAGACTAGGGATATTATTCCTCTCTCTGGATATAGACCCGTGAAGATTCCGGGGTAGAAAAGGTCTTCAGCAACCGCTGATTTAGTTGATGCATGTCATGGATCCCAATTGCGTGGATCGATGCTCATGATATTAATCACTGGATTGTCTGGTCCAGACTCGATTATTTATAGGCCGCCGTCATGTAGCTGGAATATTGCCGAGTGCGGCGTTAAACAACAAACCAACCAACTTTGTGGATATAGGATATGTATAACTGCCTGATATTATACATATAACTTTTGTCGGTTGTAATTACGATTTTTGCATTTTGTTTTTATCCATTAACTGCAGCAGAAACCGAGGAGGCCTCAACGGTGACTGTTTTTTTTTTTTTTCATGCGTAAAACTTACCCGCCAATAACGTCCAGCTGTACAAAAGTGATTATGGTTATTATTATCTTAATAAGAAAAACTTGCAACTAAAAATACGCTATTTTGGAAAATATCATTTCTGATAAAATAAAAATTTCAGAGTACAAGTATTCCGATCATTGCATCAAAATCCTTTCAAGTTATACGTTTTGGGGGGTATTATTAACCGAATCACGGGTAGATTGGTAGAAAATGTACAGCTGGGTGTTATTTCCGGTTTAGTTAATGGGAAAAACACACGGCAAACCTAATTTCTGCGAATAAAAAAATGTCCAGCAGAAGAGAAAAGACAATTTAAATGGTAAATCGTCAAGTCTGGAAGTAATTTATCTCAAGTTTCCTTGACCAAAAAATTTTTATCACCTGTTTACGCTGAATTCGCTGAAGGGACTTGATGTAGTTTTTTCACTGTGCATAAGATGATGTTTCTCTTAGAAGTCGTATATCAGGCCCTCCTATGAATATGAATGAATAATGCCCTTTCGATACAGATTATCCATGATCAGCAATAATATAGTTCAGTAATGTATTTTGTATGCATTATCGATGTATTTTGATGGGAGTCGATTGGAAAACGTATCAGTCATAGAGCTAGATAAATTACTTCGCCCATAATTTCATTCATTGTTAACGTCTAAGAACTCAATATGTTGTATTTGCCCAATAATTGGTGATACTATACAGCTTATAACAAAATTATGTCAGTCGACGCCAACAGTAAGGAATTCTTCTGTGGCTGATTGGCACTTAAGCAATAATATTAATTTATATGTATTTTATTAACATACCATTACGAGATCCCGATGCGTTTGTTTTGGCTACCAAAACAGTTGCCAAGTTGCTGGGATCTGTTTGGGGATGGGCGAGGTGTCAGGCATCTTCAGCGTGGTCGGAGACCATGCCTGACTACTGCCCATTTAATAGTCTGTGATACTGACCCTGAAACAAATATATCCAAAAAGCCCAAGGAAGTCTATATTAGTAGGCAAGTCTAGATTACTGCAGTTTCAGGAAATGACGAGAGTATCTTTGCTCCTTTTTATTATATTTTCTATGAACAGAACTTAACAACTGTTTGACTAGATGTTAGTCTACCCATATATTTGCTATAACTGATTTAAGAAAACACGTCTTCTACTTTTAGATAACAAATTTTGATGCTCAATGCCATGAATTTTATGCTTAAAAATGTTAAAGTCAAGAATTCGAGTCAGACAAACCAAAAGAAACTACTTAGCTTATCGCTTATTGGTGTATCTCCGCAATGTCCCTCACGCTGTCTGTTTCCGGAAGAAAGTGTTCTTATGTAAGTGAGATCGGCTTCTGACGGATACAGCCGAAGTTATTCCGCTGCATTTGACCTAGTTTCCCATAGAAGCTGTGCACATATTTCGCTAATGACCGCTGTCAAATCCGATAGTGTTCTTTTTCATTCGCATAATTAATGCATTCGATTCCAATTCAGGAGCTACCAATGCGCCTTCATTTTAACCCATTCAACGTTTTTATTCCAAATGCTTAGAGTGAGTGAGTTGGGTTCAACGCCACTTTTAACATTATTCCAGTCATATCACGGCGTGTCAGCTTAATGTGGGAGGAAAGCCAGAAGTGATGCAGGTCTCAGACGTTTACCACTTTGGTGAAACCCACGAGCACGGGTATGGTGCAGACAAACCCAGAAACATAATCAGGGCGAACCGGGATTCGAACCAACAATCATAGGTTCCTGGCGTGCCCAAGGGACGCAACTCTGCACAGCGAATCGCGGCGCCTTAGACGACTCGGCCACCCGTGCCCCCTATCCGCGGTCGAATTCAGCTAACATTGTAAGTTATCATGTAAAAAAGACAGCTCTAAATATATAAAAATACATGGTCAGTTTTAATTAATGGGTTGATGTACATTTAAAACAAAACATACAAAATTACAGCTGCCATGTGATTCATTCTGCACTGAAAGCTGCGAAAACTGCTTGTGATTTGGTATGTTTGAACCTGTATGTAGCGCGCAAAGCCGGGAAGTCATACACAAAGGCAACACTCAAATTTAAGTGACAGTACGGCAAAGATTACAAAATGACGTCGCGAATGATATCCATGGTAGATCATTTCATAACGGCTACTTATGGTGTCTCGTTTGACAGTGATCCATTTATCCATTTAACCGCACTGACCCAATCCCTAGTTTTCTCTCCTGGAGACCAGCCTTTGGCTGCGCTTGCGAAGCACTGATACAGGCAATTCCATAACGGCGGCCTCCATGAGACAAAGAAAAATGGCCTAGCCTAATAGCCTAATGGTTAAAGCGTTCGCTCGTCACGCCGAAGACCTGGGTTCGATTCCCGACATGGGTACAATGTGTGAAGCCCATTTCTTGTGTCCCCCGCCGTGATGTTGCTGGAATATTCCAAAAAGCGGCGTAAAACCATACTGACTCACTGTTTATAAATGGACTGGAATGTGACGTCATTTGAGGGCGCTAATATAACCTTATAATGGTGTACTTAGAAATCAGAAGACATGAAAAGGCACATGGCGATTCACTGTGGAATCAAGCCTCACTAGTGCACTGTTTGTAAGAAAACATTATCAGGTCATCTGCAGAAACATAATTTTTTTTTTTTTTCTGCTGATTCACACTGGAGTCAAACCTTATCAGTGTGTAGAATGTGGGAAAGGGTTCACACAGTCACGCAGCCTGCAGAAAGACATGAATGTACACAGCAGAAGCTACCCTTATCAATGTGTAGAATGTGGGAAAGAGTTCACACAGTCAGGTGGCCTGCAGAAACACATGATGATTTATAGTGTTTATAAATTGACTGGACTGTGACGTCACACAATTCGCGAAAAATCGCGTTGAATATGGCCGTTTGAGGGCGCTAATATAACCTTATAATGGTATACTTAGAAATACTAAATAGTGTACGAAATGTGTCATTTTTCTGGGTACGAATATTCCACTGGTACGCAATGTCTGGTGTTTTCCCGCAGTACTAATTCGTTTGGGGTATGAAATTACCACAAACAGCTATTATCAGTGTGTTAAATGTGGGAAAAACATGAACAAAATCAGGTCTTACATCATGATCCATAACACATCACCAACTTGTGTATAGTTTGTTTGTTGTTTAACGCCGCACTCAGCAATATTCCAGCTATATGACGGCGGTCTGTAAATAATCGAGTATGGACCAGACAATCCAGTGATTAATATCATGGGCATCGATCGATCCACGCAATTGGGATCCATGACATGCATCAACCAAGTCAGCGAACCTGACCACCCGAACCCGTTAGTCGCCTTTTAAGGGTAAACATGGGTTGCTGAAGACCTATTATACCCCGGATCTTCACGGGTCTCAGCCCTCGTTATTGTTGGTGTTCTTGTGGAAACATCTTTTGAAAATGCATTATCATGATAAAAGACAACTCTTTTGTTTTCAGTGAACACCATAACATCCACAAGTTAACAATGGAAGTACAAAGCCAACCACAGAATCCTGGCTCTGTTTCTGAAACATGTGTAGTCAGTGACTGTGAGAGAGAATTTCTGGAAATTACTGACACTCAGGAAATAGGTGATCTCAAGGAACACAAAGATTGTGGTGGTCCAGAAGATCAATCAACGTGTAGTGCATGCGGGAAAACATTTATTAAATCAGAAGACATGAAAAGGCACATGGCGATTCACTGTGGAATCAAGCCTCACCAGTGCACTGTTTGTAAGAAAACATTATCAGGTCATCTGCAGAAACATATGCTGATTCACACTGGAGTCACACGTTATCAGTGTGTTGAATGTGGTAAAAGGTTTAGAGGTTCAGGACATCTGCAGGCACACATGAGGATTCACAGTGGAATTAAGCCTTATCCGTGCATTGTGTGTGAGAAGACATTTACACAATCGGGTCAGCTGCAGTCACACATGAGGATTCACACTGGAATCAAACCTTATCAGTGTGTTGAATGTGGGAAGGAATTTACACGATCAAATTACCTGCAGATACACTTGAGGATTCACAGTGGAGTCAAGCCTAATCAGTGTAATATATGTGAGAAAACATTGACACGATTAAGTACTCTGAAGAATCACATCAGGATTCACACTGGAATCAAACCTTATCAGTGTGTTGAATGTGGGAAGGGATTTACACGATCAAATACCCTGCAGAAACACATGAGGATTCACAGTGGAGACAAGCCTTATCAGTGTAATGTATGTGAGAAAACATTTGCACGATCACGTACTCTGCAGGAACACATGATGATTCACAGTGGACTCAGACCTTATCAGTGTAATGTATGTGAGAAAACATTTACACGATCAGGTACTCTGAAGAATCACATGGCGATTCACACTGGAATCAGACCTTATCAGTGTGTTGAATGTGGAAAAGAATTTACAGTATCAAGTAACATGAAGAAACACATGAGGATTCACAGTGGAGTCAAGCCCTATCCGTGTAATATATGTCAGAAATCATTTACACGATCAGGTACTCTGGAGAGGCACATGGCGATTCACAGTGGACTCAGACCGTATCAGTGTGTTGAATGTGGGAAAGCATTTAGACATTCATATCACCTGAAGACACACATGATGATTCACAGTGGAATCAAGCATCATCAGTGTGTTGAATGCGGGAAAACATTTGCACAATCAAGTAATCTGCAGAAACACATCAGAATTCACAGTGAAGTCAAGCCTTATCCGTGTAATATATGTCAGAAATCATTTACACGATCAGGTACCTTGGAGAGGCACATGGCGATTCACACTGGAATGAGACCTCATCAGTGTGTTGAATGCGGGAAAGCATTTGCACAATCAGGTAACCTGAAGACACACATGATGATTCACAGTGGAGTCAAGCCTTATCAGTGTGTTGTGTGTGATAAGTGGTTCACACACTCAAGTAGCCTGCAGAAACACATGACCATTCACAGTGCTAGCAAGCCGTATCAGTGTGATGTGTGTGGTAAAGCGTTTACATACTCAAATAGCCTGAAGCGACACCTGACCATTCATAGTGGAAGCAAGCCTTAGCAGTGTGTTCGATGTGGGAAAATATTTTGACACTCAGGTACTCTGCATACACAAGTGATGATTCACAATGGAATGAAACCTTTACGAGTGCATTGTTTGTGAGAAAGGATTGACACACTCAGGTAATCTGCAGAAACACAAGGATTCGCCGTGGAATCCAACTTATCAGTGTGTTCAATGAAGCGAGGGATGTAACATCACACGTTTCATAGTTCTGGAATAAAGGTTTACAAAGTTCATATTCTTGCTGCGTAGGGGATATTTAAATCCAATGCTATCTATCTCGGCCGTTAATAATCCTCTGGCCATGTAGTGACCACATGTTTACACCACGTGCTCTTGGACAGGGAGGGGGCACGGGTGGCCCAGTGGTCTAAGGCGCCGCGATTCACTGTGCAGAGTTGCGTCCCTTGAGCTTGCCAGAAACCTATGACTGTGGGTTCGAATCCCGGTTCGCCCCAATTATGTTTCTAGGTTTGTCAGCACCATACCCGTGCTCGTGGGTTTCACCGAAGTGGTAAACGTCTGAGACCTGCATCACTTCGGGCTTTCCTCCCACATTAAGCTGACACGCCGCGATATAACTGGAATATTGTTAAATGCGGCGTTAAACCCAACTCACTCACTCACTCTGAAACCACCTCCGTATTTAAGGGGTGGCAGGGCTTTGCCCGTTGACCTTGAGGCCCAGAGTTTTCCTCGTGGAGGACGTAAGCAAGTTCATATTCTTGCTGCGTAGGGGATATTTAAATCCAATGCTATCTATCTCGGTCGTTAATAATCCTCTGGCCATGTAGTGACCACATGTTTAAAACCACGTGCTCTTGGACAGGGATAAATCAAAGGCTATCTTATCTTCATTACATGTAGTCATACAGCAACTCTGTATGTTGCAGAGTTGACCAGTAATTAGCCTGTCCAGAACAAGACAATAAACTAACTGTCATCGTCTACAACACTGCTTTGACAAACAAGGTAGTTAGCCTGTTTAATTAGTGTGCTGATTGTTCTTATACACCACAAGACTCTTGGTCAAAACAAGGCAATTAACATATTTGCTGTGACCTGCAACCCGTGCCCACTTAAATTATTACTGAACCATTGTGACAAGTTCACGTAACATTAACCCGTGAAGATCCGGGGTAGAATAGGTCTCCAGCAACCCGTGCTTGCCGTAAAAGGCGACTATGCTTGTCGTAAGAGGCGACAAACGGGATCGGGTGGTCAGGATTTGGTTGACGCATGTCATTGTGTCCCAATTGCGTGGATCGATGCTCATGATGTCAATCTCTGGATTGTCTGTTCCAGCCTCGATTATTTACAGACCGCCGTCATATAGCTTGACTATTGCTGAGTGAGGCGTTAAACAACAAACAAATAAACAAAAAATAACCAAATTTTCAGTGAGACATTTTCCATAGAGTGTGAATAAGTTTTCATGGAACCATAAATTCTTTGTATGGATTAATGTTACACTTCAAAAGTGTATCGTACGGCTGCAAAGTACGACAACACGGGGATGCCACTTTATGCTGTGGTCTAGTGGCCGGATGCAGATAGATATCCCCGACCGCTAACCTCATCCGGTCACCGGGCGGTCACCTACAGGTCACCCAGGGACTCCAGCGACCTACATACATACATACATTAATATATTGTGTCTATCAACATGCACTACACGTTCTTGACTCTACGTCCCCTACGTCGTTTCACAATACAATGGCATTTATACAAAACAGTTATTTCAATATAAAACACGTAATTAATTTATATATAATACTTATCACTCACTTCTGTATACAATACGATGCTTGTCGTAAGAGGAGACAAACGGGATCGGATGGTAAGGCGCGCTGATTTGGTAGATGCATGTCATCGTGTCCCAATTGCGTAGATCGATGCTCATGATATCAATCACTGGATTGTCTGGTCAAGACTCAATTTTTTACAGACCGCCGTCATATAGCTGGAATATTGAGTGCGGCGTTAAACAACAAACAAATAAACAAACAAACGAAACTTAATATTTAAAAAAAACAATTACAATATTTATCACTACGATATATGAAGCATTTATGATTTTTTAGAGGCAAGAGTTATCGGAACTAAAACAAACATAAAGCACATCAAATAAAGCTAACTGAAAATAAATAAATTCATACAGAAGATATTTATGATGTTGAAGAGCGTGAGTGTGGTTTTACGCCGCTTTTAGCAATATCCCAGCAATATCACCGCGGGGGGGGGGGGGGGGGGGGGCACAAGAAAAGGGCTTTATACATTGTACACATGAGCGGAATCGAACCTGGGTCTTCGGCTTGACGAGCGAACCCTTTCACCACCAGGGTACCCTACCGCCCCTTTATGATATTGGTGGCAATAGGTATCTCAACTAAAACTCAAGCAAATGAAATAAAGTTAATCTAAAAATAAACGACGATTAGCAGTTTTACAATAAAACACTGCAGGGAAAATAAACCGCCAGTCGATTATTTCTTACATGGGATATCAATATTATGTTCAGCCTCTTTAAGGATGTTACTAAGCCGTACAAACTTTAAATATATTTACCCGTATTAACATAATGATGACTCCCTGAATGGAATCCGACCTCGGCAATGTCGGACAAGTCCATTTTGCGAACAGGTGGGATAAGTTTGGTATTTCCCGCATATTCTCACATTCCTAACGTCAGTTGTCTAATACCGATTGTCATATCTCTTCCACTTTTTGATGCGATCGTTCGACCCCTGAGTTTATCTGCGTAGCCTAGCTAAGAAAATATGAATCATATATTGATGGGTTTATCAATTTGAAACATCAATGCACCTTAATGAAAACTAAATAAGTTCTTTACAAACTTCATTAAAGCAAGAGATGCGAGTACAATGAATGTTACCACAAAAAAAATAAAAAATAGGAATATCAATACCATTACCATTTCTACTTTTTTTTTCAGTATTTGTCATAAAAACACAAATCCGCATAGAAAAAGGTGTTCGATGAACCAAGTTATAGAAAAACAGACCGGTCCCCTGCCTCTACCGAGGTGGTCGGTGGGGTAGCCTGGTGGTGAAGGGGTTCGGTCGTCACGCCCAATACCAAGGTTCTATTCCCCACATGGATACAATGTGTGAAGTTCATTTCTGGTGTCCTCCGACGTGATATTGCAGGAATAGTGCTAAAAGCGGCGTAAAACTATACTCACTCACTTGCTGTTGTGGCAGGGCCCATATTAGGTACATATGTATATTGTCTCTGGTTGAAGCGAAGGACAGGATGTATTCTTAAAATAGTAACACAACCCCACCAGCGCTCGTCATAATGTGCAGCAAGCACAGCCGGGAGGTCGTGCACAGGCAACAACCGAATGTAAGTAATTACAAGATTACAATATTACATGGCTTCGAAGTTAGATCATTTGACAGCGTCTGCTTAGAGAAATGCGTCTCCTTTCTTTGTGATCGTGGCTATTTATCCATTTTAACTCACTATCCCCTGTGTTTCTCTCCTGGAGACCTGGTTGTCTAGGTAGGCAGCGCGTGCGCTTCAGTGATACAGCCACGACTCAACAATGGCGGCTTCCATTCGATATGGACACGTGGCGCACGCTTTATCAGCTGTTTATGTATTTACTACGGAAAGACGCTAGAACGGGAGCTTAGAAAATGTCCGTGGCATCATGAATACTGTTGCAACGTGTATGTCAGGAGAATAACGTCCATTTTTACTTATATTATAAATAAAGGGAAACTACACTCTGGCTTCTATCCGACTGCCTCACACCACCAGCAATGACTCATATTTTTACGCAGTAGCTGTCGTGAGTCGATCAGCTGGCTAACGCAACAGAGCGCGACAACCTCATCGGATGCCGTTATTTGGAAATTCCCCTGATGGTTATAGTTTGATAAAAAAATGTCTCCCCGCAGTGAAAACATGTTCGGATTTCTGAATGCGTGGATTATAAGATGACAGATTGTTTGTTTTTTTTGTTTACCGCCGCACGCAGCAAAATTCCAGCTATATGACGGCGGTCTGTAAATAATCGAGGCTGGGCCAGATAATCCAGTGATTGACATCATGAGCATCGATCCACGCAACTGGAATACGATGACATGTATCAACCAAGTCAGCAAGGCTGACCACCCGATTCCGTTAGTCGGCTCTTACGACAAGCTTAGTCGCATTTAACAGCAAGCACGGGTTGCTGAAGAACTATTCTACCCCGGATCTTCACGGGCAAGGTGACATATTGATTTGGATACCATTGCTGTATTTTATAGGTTGATCTTTAATAATATCACGTTATAATATCATGTCAACAGACCCATACTATTAAAAAGAACAATTTGATTTATTTGAAGCTGTAATTAAAAGCCCATTTTCCAATTCCATGGGTTTTGTATACTATCGACTGTCGGATGTTGAAGGAACAAGAAGATGAAGTCATCAATATAATCAGATAGAATTAGTGGTAGAGCCACTCAGATTGTCTGACAAAGACTGCCAAATTACTCAATAACGTTCATCCCTGCCTCTAGGGGTGTAGAGGATATACAGTGAGTGAGTATGGTTTTACGCCGGTTTTAGCAATATTCCAGCAATATCACGGCGGGGGGACACCAGGAATGGGCTTCACACATTGTACCCATGTCGAGAATTGAACCCGGGTCTTCAGCGTGACGAGCGAACGCTTTAACCACGAGGCTACCCGACCGCCCCAGAGGATATATAGCAATCAGCGGTTCCCTTTTGGCATTTCTTGTGTCTGGGGTATTTATTCAATAGAAGACTGGGTTATAAATCCAGTCTGATGCGGTGAATGGACTACATGTTAAGTAATAACCATGGCAACACAGTAAGAGAAGAATGATCAGTTGAGTTGCTAAAAAAACATCGATCAAAGGATTAACCGATAATTTGATTGATAAATCAATGTTATCTTGCGGAGTAGATTTGTCAAAAGTTAGTGTTCATGTACGTAGGTTTACTAAAGCAGACGAAATACATCCATATCTGGGCGTGAAGTGCTTATGTCAAAACAACATACTTTGGTCAAAGGATTAACCGATAGTACGTTGATTGATTGATCATTTGGATTTTTTAAAGAACCATGGACATCATGAACATAGTTGTCACGTGTGCTATCTCAGCTGACCAATGAGACTTGACACCTATGTGAAACACCTGAAACAAACTTACGTGGTCATTTGAGAAACGAACACGAATTGAGATACCCCAAAAGGCTCTATATATCGATATGTATCAAAATATTAGATTGTCACAAAGACCCGTGACATCGAACAAGTTTCTTTGTACAGCTTGATATGTATGGGATGTTATAGACCATCATCTAGTCTCTGAAATGATCATATCGTCGCGAATGATATCCATGGTAGTCATTTCATAACGGCTGCTTATGGAGTGGTGTCTCGTTTGACAGTGATCCATTTATCCATTTAACTGCACTGACCCAATCCCTACTTTTCTCTCCTGGGGACCAGCCTTTAACTGCGCTTGCGCCGCACTGATACAGGCAATTCCATAACGGCGGCCTCCATGAGACAAAGAAAAATGGCCTAGCCTAATAGCCTAATGGTTAAAGCGTTCGCTCGTCACGCCGAAGACCTGGGTTCGATTCCCGACATGGGTACAATGTGTAAAGCCCATTTCTTGTGTCCCCCGCCGTGATGTTGCTGGAATATTAAAAAAAGCGGCGTAAAACCATACTGACTCACTGTTTATAAATGGACTGGACTGTGACGTCGTTTGAGGGCGCTAATCTAACCTTATAATGGTGTACTTAGAAATCAGAAGACATGAAAAGGCACATGGCGATTCACTGTGGAATCAAGCCTCACAAGTGCACTGTTTGTAAGAAAACATTATCAGGTCATCTGCAGAAACATAATTTCTTTTTTTTTATCCTGATTCACACAGGAGGCAAACCTTATCAGTGTGTAGAATGTGGGAAAGGGTTCACACAGTCACGCAGCCTGCAGAAACACATGAATGTACACAGTAGAAGCAACCCTTATCAGTGTGTAGAATGTGGGAAAGGGTTCACACAGTCAGGTAGCCTGCAGAAACACATGAATGTACACAGTAGAAGCAACCCTTATCAGTGTGTAGAATGTAGGAAAGGGTTCACACAGTCAGGTAGCCTGCAGAAACACATGAATGTACACAGTAGAAGCAACCCTTATCAGTGTGTAGAATGTAGGAAAGGGTTCACACAGTCAGGTAGCCTGCAGAAACACATGAATGTGCACAGTAGAAGCAACCCTTATCAGTGTGTAGAATGTAGGAAAGGGTTCACACAGTCAGGTAGCCTGCAGAAACACACGAATGTACACAGTAGAAGCAACCCTTATCAGTGTGTAGAATGTAGGAAAGGGTTCACACAGTCAGGTAGCCTGCAGAAACACATGAATGTACACAGTAGAAGCAACCCTTATCAGTGTGTAGAATGTAGGAAAGGGTTCACACAGTCAGGTAGCCTGCAGAAACACGTGAATGTACACAGTAGAAGCAACCCTTATCAGTGTGTAGAATGTAGGAAATGGTTCACACAGTCAGGTAGCCTGCAGAAACACATGAATGTACACAGTAGAAGCAACCCTTATCAGTGTGTAGAATGTGGGAAAGGGTTCACACAGTCAGGTAGCCTGCAGAAACACATGAATGTACACAGTAGAAGCAACCCTTATCAGTGTGTAGAATGTGGGAAAGGGTTCACACAATCAGGGAGCCTGCAGAAACACATGAATGTGCACAGTAGAAGCAACCCTTATCAGTGTGTAGAATGTAGGAAAGGGTTCACACAGTCAGGTAGCCTGCAGAAAGACATGAATGTACACAGTAGAAGCAACCCTTATCAGTGTGTAGAATGTAGGAAAGGGTTCACACAGTCAGGTAGCCTGCAGAAACACATGATGATTCATAGTGCTTATTAATGGACTGGACTGTGACGTCACACAATTCGCGAAAAATCGCGTTGAATATAGCCATTTGAGGGCGCTAATATAACCTTTTAATGGTGTACTTAGAAATACTAAATAGTGTACGAAATTTGTCATTCTTCTGGGTACGAATATTCCACTGGTACGAAATGTCTGGTGTTTTCCCTCAGTACTAATTCGTTTGGGGTATGAAATTACCACAAACAGCTATTATCAGTGTGTTAAATGTGGGAAAAACATGAACAAAATCAGGTCTTACATCATGATCCATAACACATCACCAACTTGTGTATAGTTTGTTTGTTGTTTAACGCCGCACTCAGCAATATTCCAGCTATATGACGGCGGTCTGTAAATAATCGAGTATGGACCAGACAATCCAGTGATTAATATCATGGGCATCGATCGATCCACGCAATTGGGATCCATGACATGCATCAACCAAGTCAGCGAACCTGACCACCCGAACCCGTTAGTCGCCTTTTACGGCAAACATGGGTTGCTGAAGACCTATTATACCCCGGATCTTCACGGGTCTCAGCCCTCGTTATTGTTGGTGTTCTTGTGGAAACATCTTTTGAAAATGCATTATCATGATAAAAGACAACTCTTTTGTTTTCAGTGAACACCATAACATCCACACGTTAACAATGGAAGTACAAAGCCAACCACAGAATCCTGGCTCTGTTTCTGAAACATGTGTAGTCAGTGATTGTGAGAGAGAATTGCTGGAAATTACTGACACTCAGGAAATAGGTGATCTCAAGGAACACAAAGATTGTGGTGGTCCAGAAGATCAGTCAACGTGTAGTGCATGCGGGAAAACATTTATTAAATCAGAAGACATGAAAAGGCACATGGCGATTCACTGTGGAATCAAGCCTCACCAGTGCACTGTTTGTAAGAAAACATTATCAGGTCATCTGCAGAAACATATGCTGATTCACACTGGAGTCAAACCTTATCAGTGTGTAGAATGTGGGAAAGGGTTCACACAGTCAGGTAGCCTGCAGAAACACATGATGATTCATAGTGGAATCAAGTCTCATCAGTGCTTCGTGTGTGAGAAAACATTTACATTATCATGTCATCTGCAGAAACATATGCTGATTCACACTGGAATCAAACCTTATCAGTGTGTAGAATGTGGGAAAGGGTTCACACAGTCAGGCAGCCTGCAGAAACACATGAACGTACACAGTAGAAGCAACCCTTATCAATGTGTTGAATGTGGTAAAAGGTTTAGAGGTTCAGGACATCTGCAGGCACACATGAGGATTCACAGTGGAATTAAGCCTTATCCGTGCATTGTGTGTGAGAAAACATTTACACAATCGGGTCAGCTGCAGTCACACATGAGGATTCACACTGGAATCAAACCTTATCAGTGTGTTGAATGTGGGAAGGAATTTACACGATCAAATTACCTGCAGATATATTTGAGGATTCACAGTGGAGTCAAGCCTAATCAGTGTAATATATGTGAGAAAACATTGACACGATTAAGTACTCTGAAGAATCACATCAGGATTCACACTGGAATCAAACCTTATCACAAAATTACCACAAACAGCTATTATCAGTGTGTTAAATGTGGGAAAAACATGAACAAAATCAGGTCTTACATCATGATCCATAACACATCACCAACTTGTGTATAGTTTGTTTGTTGTTTAACGCCGCACTCAGCAATATTCCAGCTATATGACGGCGGTCTGTAAATAATCGAGTATGGACCAGACAATCCAGTGATTAATATCATGGGCATCGATCGATCCACGCAATTGGGATCCATGACATGCATCAACCAAGTCAGCGAACCTGACCACCCGAACCCGTTAGTCGCCTTTTACGGCAAACATGGGTTGCTGAAGACCTATTATACCCCGGATCTTCACGGGTCTCAGCCCTCGTTATTGTTGGTGTTCTTGTGGAAACATCTTTTGAAAATGCATTATCATGATAAAAGACAACTCTTTTGTTTTCAGTGAACACCATAACATCCACACGTTAACAATGGAAGTACAAAGCCAACCACAGAATTCTGGCTCTGTTTCTGAAACATGTGTAGTCAGTGATTGTGAGAGAGAATTGCTGGAAATTACTGACACTCAGGAAATAGGTGATCTCAAGGAACACAAAGATTGTGGTGGTCCAGAAGATCAGTCAACGTGTAGTGCATGCGGGAAAACATTTATTAAATCAGAAGACATGAAAAGGCACATGGCGATTCACTGTGGAATCAAGCCTCACCAGTACACTGTTTGTAAGAAAACATTATCAGGTCATCTGCAGAAACATATGCTGATTCACACTGGAGTCAAACCTTATCAGTGTGTAGAATGTGGGAAAGGGTTCACACAGTCAGGTAGCCTGCAGAAACACATGATGATTCATAGTGGAATCAAGGCTCATCAGTGCATCGTGTGTGAGAAAACATTTACATTATCATTTCATCTGCAGAAACATATGCTGATTCACACTGGAATCAAACCTTATCAGTGTGTAGAATGTGGGAAAGGGTTCACACAGTCAGGCAGCCTGCAGAAACACATGAACGTACACAGTAGAAGCAACCCTTATCAATGTGTTGAATGTGGTAAAAGGTTTAGAGGTTCAGGACATCTGCAGGCACACATGAGGATTCACAGTGGAATTAAGCCTTATCCGTGCATTGTGTGTGAGAAAACATTTACACAATCGGGTCAGCTGCAGTCACACATGAGGATTCACACTGGAATCAAACCTTATCAGTGTGTTGAATGTGGGAAGGAATTTACACGATCAAATTACCTGCAGATACACTTGAGGATTCACAGTGGAGTCAAGCCTAATCAGTGTAATATATGTGAGAAAACATTGACACGATTAAGTACTCTGAAGAATCACATCAGGATTCACACTGGAATCAAACCTTATCAGTGTGTTGAATGTGGAAAAGAATTTACAGTATCAAGTAACATGAAGAAACACATGAGGATTCACAGTGGAGTCAGACCTTATCAGTGTAATATATGTCAGAAAACATTTACAGTATCAGGTACTCTGAAGAATCACATGGCGATTCACACTGGAATGAGACCTCATCAGTGTGTTGAATGCGGGAAAGCATTTGCACAATCAGGTAACCTGAAGACACACATGATGATTCACAGTGGAATCAAGCCTTATCAGTGTGTTGTGTGTGATAAGTGGTTCACACACTCAAGTAGCCTGCAGAAACACATGACCATTCACAGTGCTAGCAAGCCGTATCAGTGTGATGTGTGTGGTAAAGCGTTTACATACTCAAATAGCCTGAAGCGACACCTGACCATTCATAGTGGAAGCAAGCCTTAGCAGTGTGTTCGATGTGGGAAAATATTTTGACACTCAGGTACTCTGCATACACAAGTGATGATTCACAATGGAATGAAACCTTTACGAGTGCATTGTTTGTGAGAAAGGATTGACACACTCAGGTAATCTGCAGAAACACAAGGATTCGCCGTGGAATCCAACTTATCAGTGTGTTCAATGAAGCGAGGGATGTAACATCACACGTTTCATAGTTCTGGAATAAAGGTTTACAAAGTTCATATTCTTGCTGCGTAGGGGATATTTAAATCCAATGCTATCTATCTCGGCCGTTAATAATCCTCTGGCCATGTAGTGACCACATGTTTACACCACGTGCTCTTGGACAGGGAGGGGGCACGGGTGGCCCAGTGGTCTAAGGCGCCGCGATTCACTGTGCAGAGTTGCGTCCCTTGAGCTTGCCAGAAACCTATGACTGTGGGTTCGAATCCCGGTTCGCCCCAATTATGCTTCTAGGTTTGTCAGCACCATACCCGTGCTCGTGGGTTTCACCGAAGTGGTAAACGTCTGAGACCTGCATCACTTCGGGCTTTCCTCCCACATTAAGCTGACACGCCGCGATATAACTGGAATAGTGTTAAATGCGGCGTTAAACCCAACTCACTCACTCACTCTGAAACCACCTCCGTATTTAAGGGGTGGCAGGGCTTTGCCCGTTGACCTTGAGGCCCAGAGTTTGCCTCGTGGAGGACGTAAGCAAGTTCATATTCTTGCTGCGTAGGGGATATTTAAATCCAATGCTATCTATCTCGGTCGTTAATAATCCTCTGGCCATGTAGTGACCACATGTTTAAAACCACGTGCTCTTGGACAGGGATAAATCAAAGGCTATCTTATCTTCCTTACATGTAGTCATACAGCAACTCTGTATGTTTCAGAGTTGACCAGTAGTTAGCCTGTCCAGAACAAGACAATAAACTAACTGTCATCGTCTACAACCCTGCTTTGACAAACAAGGTAGTTAGCCTGTTTAATTAGTGTGCTGATTGTTCTTATACACCACTAGACTCTTGGTCAAAACAAGGCAATTAACACATTCGCTGTGACCTGCAACCCGTGCCCACTTAAATTATTACTGAACCATTGTGACAAGTTCACGTAACATTAACCCGTGAAGATCCGGGGTAGAATAGGTCTCCAGCAACCCGTGCTTGCCGTAAAAGGCGACTATGCTTGTCGTAAGAGGCGACAAACGGGATCGGGTGGTCAGGATTTGGTTGACGCATGTCATCGTGTCCCAATTGCGTGGATCGATGCTCATGATGTCAATCTCTGGATTGTCTGTTCCAGCCTCGATTATTTACAGACCGCCGTCATATAGCTTGACTATTGCTGAGTGCGGCGTTAAACAACAAACAAATAAACAAAAAATAACCAAATTTTCAGTGAGACATTTTCCATAGAGTGTGAATAAGTTTTCATGGAACCATAAATTCTTTGTATGGATTAATGTTACACTTCAAAAGTGTATCGTACGGCTGCAAAGTACGACAACACGGGGATGCCACTTTATGCTGGGGTCTAGTGGCCGGATGCAGATAGATATCCCTGACCGCTAACCTCATCCGGTCACCGGGCGGTCACCCACAGGTCACCCAGGGACTCCAGCGACCTACATACATACATACATTAATATATTGTGTCTGTCAACATGCACTACACGTTCTTGACTCTACGTCCCCTACGTCGTTACACAATACAATGGCATTTATACAAAACAGTTATTTCAATATAAAACACGTTATTAATTTATATATAATACTTATCACTCACTTCTGTATACAATACGATGCTTGTCGTAAGAGGAGACAAACGGGATCGGATGGTAAGGCGCGCTGATTTGGTAGATGCATGTCATCGTGTCCCAATTGCGTGGATCGATGCTCATGATATCAATCACTGGATTGTCTGGTAAAGACTAGATTATTTACAGACCGCCGTCATATAGCTGGAATATTGAGTGCGGCGTTAAACAACAAACAAACAAACAAACGAAACTTAATATTTAAAAAAAACAATACAATATTTATCAATACGATATATGTAGCATTTATGAATTTGGAGGCAAGAGTTATCGGAACTAAAACAAACATAAAGCACATCAAATAAAGCTAACTGATAGATAAATTCATACATACGATATTTATGACGTTGAAGAGCATGAGTATGTTTTACGCCGCTTTTTGCAATACCCCAGGAGGGGGGACTTTATACATTGTACACATGAACGGAATCGAACCCGGGTCTTCGGCTTGACGATCGAACCCTTTCACCACCAGGCTACCCTACCGCCCCTTTTTGATATTGGTGACAATAGGTATCTCAACTAAAACTCAAGCAAATGAAATAAAGTTAATCTAAAAATAAATGACGATTAGCAGTTTTACAATAAAACACTGCAGGGAGAATAAACCGCCAGTCGATTATTTCTTACATGAGATATCAATATTATGTTCAGCCTCTTTAAGGATGTTACTAAACCGTACAAACTTGAAATATATTTACCCGTATTTACATAATGATGACTCCCTGAATGGAATCCGACCTCGGCAATGTCGGACAAGTCCATTTTGCGAACAGGTGGGATAAGTTTGGTATTTCCCGCATATTCTCACATTCCTAACGTCAGTTGTCTAATACCGATTGTCATATCTCTTCCACTTTTTGATGCGATCGTTCGACCCCTGAGTTTATCTGCGTAGCCTAGCTAAGAAAATATGAATCATATATTGATGGGTTTATCAATTTGAAACATCAATGCACCTTAATGAAAACTAAATAAGTTCTTTACAAACTTCATTAAAGCAAGAGATGCGAGTACAATGAATGTTACCACAAAAAAATAAAATAAATAGGAATATTAATACCATTACCATTTCTACTCTTTTTTTTCAGTATTTGTCATAAAAACACAAATCCGCATAGAAATAGGTGTTCGATTAACTAAGTTATAGAAAAACAGACCGGTCCCCTGCCTCTACCGAGGTGGTCGGTGGGGTAGCCTGGTGGTGAAGGGGTTCGGTCGTCACGCCCAATACCAAGGTTCTATTCCCCACATGGGTACAATGTGTGAAGTTCATTTCTGGTGTCCTCCGACGTGATATTGCAGGAATAGTGCTAAAAGCGGCGTAAAACTATACTCACTCACTCGCTGTTGAGGCAGAGCCCATATTAGGTACATATGTATATCGACTCTGGTTGAAGCGAAAGACAGGATGTATTCTTAAAATAGTAACACAACCCCACCAGCGCTCGTCATAACGTGCAGCAAGCAAAGCCGGGAGGTCGCACACAGGCAGCAATCGAATGTAAGTATTGACAAGATTACAATATTACATGGCTTCGAAGTTACATCATTTGACAGCGTCTGCTTAGAGAAATGCGTCTCCTTTCTTTGTGATCGTGGTTATTTATCCATTTTAACTCACTATCCCCTGTGTTTCTCTCCTGGAGACCTGGTTGTCTAGGTAGGCAGCGCGTGCGCTTCAGTGATACAGGCACGACTCAACAATGGCGGCTTCCATTCGATATGGACACGGCCTCAGACCACAGTTATCCCCCCTAAGTTTTACCATGAACCGGAAGGAAAATAGGAGAATATAGTACCCAGTTGAAATGGGCTGTTCAGCCTGTGGCAATTTTTTTGGAGTGACTTGTGATAGCTTAAATGAAAGATAAGACATTGTAGTTTGCTGTCAATTTTTTGTAAGCCCCAATCTGTGAAGGTATTGATTCCAGCTTCCCATGATTTGACCCCAAGTTGAAGGCCGCTGTGTGTGTTTCGGCTCGAAACTTCCGGTGAGCATTGTTGACAGTGGTTACTGCGAAAGCAAGGTGGTGGATCCTGGACGTAAGTTTGCGTTTTAAGTGACAAGTGGCAGGTTGGTCAGCATGCAACAGGAGAACAGCCTACGACTGATAATAATTATGGTGGGCTGTCATGTCACTGTAGATAGCAAAGAAGGAAATTAATTGTGGTCTGAGGCCACACGTGGCGCACGCTTCATCAGCTGTTTATGTATTTACTACGGAAAGACGCTAGAACGGGAGCTTAGAAAATGTCCGTGGCATCATGAATACTGTTGCAACGTGTATGTCAGGAGAATAACGTCCATTTTTACTTATATTATAAATAAAGGGAAACTACACTCTGGCTTCTATCCGACTGCCTCACACCACCAGCTAAGGCTCATATTTTTATTCAGTAGCTGCCGTGAGTCGATCAGCTGGCTAACGCAACAGAGCGCGACAACCTCATCGGATGCCGTTATTTGGAAATTCCCCTGATGGTTATAGTTTGATAAAAAATATGTCTCCCCGCAGTGAAAACATGTTCGGATTTCTGAATGCGTGGATTATAAGATGACAGATTATTTGGTTGTTTGTTTGTTTAACGCCGCACGCAGCAAAATTCCAGCTATATGACGGCGGTCTGTAAATAATCGAGGCTTGGCCAGACAATCCAGTGATTGACATCATTAGCATCGATCCAAGCAATTGGAATACGATGACATGCATCAACCAAGTCAGCAAGCCTGACCACCCGATCCCGTTAGTCGCCTCTTACGACAAGCTTAGTTGGTTGCTGAAGAACTATTCTACCCCGGATCTTCACGGGCAAGGTGACATATTGATTTGGATACCATTGCTGTATTTTATAGGTTGATCTTTAATAATATCACGTTATAATATCATGTCAACAGACCTATACTATTAAAAAGAACAATTTGATTTATTTGAAGCCGTAATTAAAACCCCATTTTCCCATTCCAGGGGTTTTGTATACTATCGACTGTCGGATGTTGAAGGAACAAGAAGATAAAGTCATCAATATAATCAGATAGAATTAGTGGTAGAACCACTCAGATTGTCTGACAAAGACTGCCAAATTACTCAATAACGTTCATCCCTGCCTCTGGGGGTGTAGAGGATATACAGTGAGTGAGTGAGTGAGTGAGTGAGTGAGTGAGTGAGTGAGTGAGTGAGTGAGTGAGTATTGTTTTACGCCGCTTTTAGCAATATTTCAGCATTATCACGGCAGGGGGACACCAGAAATGGGCTTCACACATTGTACCCATGTCGAGAATCGAACCCGGGTCTTCAGCGTGACGAGCGAACGCTTTAACCACGAGGCTACCCTGACCGCCCCAGAGGATATGTAGCATTCAGCGGTTCCCTTTTGGCATTTCTTGTGTCTGGGGTAATTACTCAATAGAAGACT